AAATTTAAGTCCACGGTGGCAGCAGTTGGTGTGGCTACACAGAAGCCCCCACCGCCTGTGCAAAGACCCCCTCCCCTTCAAGCACAGCCCCCTCCCCCTGTCCAGAGACCCCCTCCCCCTCAGGCACAGCCTCTACAACCTGAGAAAGTAGGCAAGAAAGACAAGAAGGTAAGAACTGAAACAGCTTTGAACTGTAATTGAACTAACTTCAAGCTAAGAAGGTATGAACTTTGTCTCAAACCTCTCAAACCCTGTCTGGACTAATTCATGTACACAGTTAGATACATGTAATATCTTTAAGCTGCCCAATGTCTAATAGCACAAATTTTTAATAAAGTATCCAAAAACCAAGAGTTGTGTGATTGTAGCTAACTTTCCCGCATATATCTATTTACAGTTATGGAAGAAGCTTAGGCAAAGTTTACATGGTAAAGACGGGTTCAGAGCACCTGCTACAAACCAGCAGGAAACAGGTGCACCTGTGGAAACCATAACAACACCGGTACTGACATGTGGAAGGGATTCCTTTTACAGATAACCACCTGCCATTTGGGTGAAATGCTAGGGTGCACTGCTGGTGAAATGGGCAGCTGTGATTGGTCAATGTTGTAGCTATGGCAACCTTGATGGGCAGACATACACAGCAACTGCTATCTGCTTTTGCATTTTAATGTGGGTGTGCAGAGAGAGGAGCTATGATTGGATAATGCCATACTGTACATAAATAGTCACCATGGTAATCTGGGTGGGCAGAGAAAAAGCTGCAAGTTTTAAAGCCATTTTCACTTGGATATTCTGCTTTTCTAAATGTGCACATAGAGATGATGATGACCAAGTATATAAAAATGGTTTCTCTTTGAAGACCTTAACGTTCTTCTTTTGTGTTGTGTTGATGCAGGGCCCTGCCATGATCGGGACGCCGTACAACGTGACCCACGTGACTCACACCAGGAATGTGGAGGAGGCGGAGGAGCTGATCCGACGCCTGATGAGCGGTCCTCCTCTCCAGCCGACGCCCGCCGGTCCAGCCGCAGGTCCGGTCGCCGGTCAGCCCACTGGTAATGCTGCTGTCCCCAGACGACCTTCACCACCTCAGGGGGTCAGTCCCGCAGCGTCCACCAGTCCCCAACACCGACCACAGGCCGGCCCACCCCCCAGACCTGCCTCTGGGCCGGCAGCAGGGACGGGGCCACCTCCACGGCCTGCCACCGGGCCTGTGTCTTCACCCGGGGCGCCCCCCTCCCCACAGAACCGCCCGCAGCCCTCCCCACGCCGCTCCAAGGTCGACGTTGAGATGGAACCCCCGGGAGCCGAGCAGCCCCGGCTAGCCCGCCCCGTCCCGCCAAGAGAGCCAGCACACGCAGACCCCAGAGTGCCCGGCTGGACCCAGCAGCTCCACCGCCACCCATCCCCCCTCGCAGGAACGTCCAGTCCGCCATCTTTGATTCCGGCAGCGACCTTACCTCCCAGGATTCCGTGGAGAGTCGTGAAGGTTCCGTCGTGTCGGAAACAAGTTCGGACAAAGTCAGCGAGGCGGGGTCGTTACCCATGGAAACTGGGTCGTTACCCACAGTGATGGGATCATTTCCCACTGAGGATACTCCCTCAGAGGTCACGCTAACAGGTCAAGCAGAGGACGAGATGGCCAGCCCTGTTCCCCCTGTCCCTCCACCAGGTGGGCCACCAGAAGAACCACCGAGTGGGCCGCCACCTGAACCACCCAGTGGGCCACCTGCAGGGCCAACAGGTGGGCCACCTCCTCCCATCCCCTCCAGGCCAAAGGTCATGCCACCTGTCCCTTCTGTCAGACCAAGACCAAATAAGGAATGAGTCCCAAGGACAAAACTGATTTTACTCTACAGTAATGAGTCTTGCCCTGTAGCTACAGTTACTGCTAGTTAGGTAGGGATATTCAAGTTGATAGGTTTAGCTAATTTAAGTTGATAGATTAATTGAATTTGGTAATTATCCGTTACATCAGTCAACCAAGGGCCACCCTCCCCACCTGGTCCAAGGTCACCCCCCCCTCCCCCAGAGCAGTCAGTTGATTGTTGCTGCTAATTGTGCAAGGTTAGAATGTCGGCAGAACGTACTGCGCATGCACAAAAGTCCCATTTTTCATGTTTTTTTTTTAAATATTTGGTCAACATTGCCAGACAATATATTTCCGACATAACATTTGGAAACTACAGACGGAGTGTTAACCTTATAAGCACGACTACGACCTTATATGACATTCTGTGCTATGCACAATACATTATGTTTTTTGCGCAGGTGCAGTACGTTCTGCCGACGTGCTTGCAAGGCTGTGTATCAAACAATAGTGTTACAATGTTCAACGTCATCATGTAGCTTTTGTGTGTTTGCTATAGACAATCAGAGAAGTGTAGATGGAAGGATGACAGTAACAAAGGCAATATTTGTGTAGGAGAACTCTGGAGGTATATTTTCTGTCAAGTGATGTTCACTTTGTGAGTGATTAGGTAGCATGTAGATTTCCATTCTCTATGGCCATATCATTAGAGTAGATAGTGGTGTAACATTCCAAACTATCATGCTGAACATTGGAGAAGGTAGTATTGATTCTGATTGAAGTAGTAAGTAGTTAAAGATCATGTTGATTAATATGATGATAAATTGAAAGATGCACAGTGATATTGATATCAGTCCTTACCTTAGACCTTAGATCCTCCCGCAACCTTGTTGCATAGGTCGACTCCTTGTCTGACTTTTTGTCTCCAAAGGTTTCGGTCTTGCGCCACTACTGCCATATCCTTTTGCCATTGATATCAGTAACTTGTTTTATTTGGTTGTTTTACCAGTGAATATTGAAAAATGTGATTAGTCATAACAGCCATAGTTAGTTAGTTAAGTTGATAGGTAGCTATGTTAGTCTGTATGTAGTTGTTTTTGTAATCTTTTATATGACAACATCCACTGTCTACTACTTATAGATATTTGATATTCTGCCCAGAAAGCCTTAGTATTGTGATTTTTGTCCAATTCTTGAAGAACTCAACCTGTTACATGCAAATATTATTCTAAGAGTTTTACATTTGTTTAGCTAAAGCTTTCTATGCATCATTTTTAAAATGCAGAAACAAAGGTGTGATTGTAGAGTTATTTACAGTTAACTTATTGTACCAGAAGATGAATTGCCAATTATATATTAAAATGTATACTTAACTGACTAGTAGGTTATGATTATGCAAAAGCACACTTCTTGCCATAGTTTAACAGTATGTTATAAAACAGTATGTTAGCACAGAAAAGCACAGAAGAATCAAGTAAATGATATGTACATAAAGTACATTGTAAATCAATTGGCTTTTTAGTTGCATGGATAACTTGCCATGACAGTTATTGTAACTCTTTTTTTGTACTTTTTTAATATCTATGTTCATTGTAAGATAGTGCAACATTTCTAGTATACTGACATTTTTGTGCATGTAACATAACCAATAAGCCACACTTGGACTTACCAAACTCAAGTCAACACTGGATAGCAATACCATCATATGTAAAAGGTAGCAATAGCAATGCTTTTACACAAGAGTGAAAACAATGTATAGCAAACATGTGTTTTGAAAACACCAAGTTGGAGCTTATTTAGATTTTGAGTCTTCTCAAACTTGGCTCTAAGGATGACATCATTACATGTGGAAGTACTACATCCCTGTGAGATGTATCTGAATGATGTTATGTTTTTACAGTGTAGGTGGAACTGTTGATACTGTAGCCTCAAGTGCAATATGTGACTAGTACTTTTGTTGTGTACATGACATAGTCCTCGAAAAGTTCCTGTCAGATACATTTTAGGTGTACATGTACTGTAAACATCAATGTGTGATGGCTGGTGTTTTAGAATTCACAGTTGTAATGCAATTTGATGCATCTTGGTGTAACTAATTTTGTTAGAGAGAAAAGCAAGGCTGCTATGATCTGCATTAGTCTAGCAGTTGCAGTTATGCTATTGGTGGAGCATTGTACATGTATTATTCTAAGCAATACTGTGGTCTGTCCTTTCTGTTTTCACGTAAATGTACTTTGCAAATATATATCTCTCATTGAGGACATTCATGTACATGCAGGCCTGGTTAAAGTACAGGGTCCATTCATTTATATTAAGTTTTAGGCAGGTCTGTTGGAGGTACACTGGCCAACCATAAAGAAGGATGAAGGCACCTCTGGTAATGTATTCCTTTATAGATATACATGCTTTATTGACAATTGTACAATGTATCTACCTGCAGCAACAAAAGAGATCAGTGTTTTTATATCAATTATGTTGTCTTTTGTACATAATCTCTGTGTGTAGAAATGGTTTAGTGAGTTTGGACAAGGAGGTTCAAATCAAGAGGCCCCTTTTGTTTTAACCTCCTTGGTACGATAAGATACCAGTGATATATTTGATCCTTCATTCCCAGATCCTGTGACACCTGTTGCTCCCAGTGAGATCCCATGACTGTGCAGTCCTGTCCAGTCCTGCTTAGCTTGTGTCTGTCCTGATCCTGACTGAAATTCACAGCCAAGTGTCACAACAGGTGATGACTACAAGCCCCCTGTTGTATATTTTGTTCCAGTGTTTTCAGTTATACGGTTTGTTGTTTCGGCAATATTGTTTATGTTAATCTAACCCAATTTCTGCATAGGAACAAGGATATTTATATGATGGGAAAAATGAACTCCGAAAGTACCATACAATTTTTTATCACTGAATATCGTGAAGCTGATAGAAAAAAAATTAGACGTCTTTCAGCTCAAAAGAGGATGCCTACTTCACCTAGCTCTTGCGTTTCCTTGAAAAGTGTGGATATATACGGACAACTACCAATTGATTTGTCACGAGTCGTACGCCATTTAGCATACAAGGACGTTATGCCCTTGAGGTGACTTGTGGCGGAGAAATTAAAACCTGTCGGCCGCCCATCAATCAAAAACCTGCCGACAACCCGTCGATTACAGATCCTGTCTAATTAACCTTGTCTGTAGAGGGAGATCGTAATGCAAGCAGAGGTGTGGAGGATTTGCTCGTTGTCTCCAACAAATAGCAGGTGTTGGAAAAGCAGTTTGCCAGAGGGGTTAGCCAGCCAAATGATGAGATCCAACTTGCCCAAAAAAGTCTGTGACAAGGGCATCGATGTAATGACATTGGGAGAATAGTATTCGAGCAGATGACAGCTCGTTTTCCTTCGTACTTTTCCTTGCTTTGCGTGCTCAACGTGCTTTGGTGTTTCTTTCAATGAAACGCTATGTTGTTATTGTATAGAAAGGCGATTGGTAAGATAATGCACCGCGGGTCGCGAGAGACGAGCGTAAAGACGCACAACTGGCCGATACCCTACATCTGCTTGAAGACCGTTCTGCGTCGCGCCCTGTGATGATTGAAGAGAGACAATAGATCAAAGCGCGCCACACACGGAGAGAACCATTCAGGTCGGCAGCGCACTTCCAGGTCCTGCAAAACAACCTCTTGCCTTCCCTATATGCCTTTTGAATGTGAATACCGGCAGCAATAAAACGGTCGTAAAACTTTTCCTATTCAGCTACAAAGAAAAGAGCAATTTTCCCCTGTATTCAGTACTCGTGCTCCTTTGCTAAAGAAGGGGCACATATCTGAGATTGGCCCGACCGTGGCAGTGATTGATGGATGTGAGCAGTCTTTTGTTCTTTTGTTGTAATCGTCGTGTTGTCCCAGCTCATCAGTGTCATCGTGCCCTTCTGACGGCTGGGGGAGGAACCAGGTTAATTGAATTTCTCTGATCGCCGACGTCGCGCTCTTAATTCAACTTTAGGCTGTCTCGTGTTAATACGGTGGTTTTCTTTATTTCATGAACAGCTTTCTTTATTCTTTGCAAAATCAGATGTTACCAGATATTACTGTTACTTCTTGCAATGATATGGTTTCCTGATGTCCTTGTAGTGTCTAGAATCTATAGATAAGACAGTTGCCTAAAAGCTGCCAAAATTACAGAAATGAAACCAACAAACGTCAAAAACCAGCAAAAAACAAGATATCAAAGCCCAGCAATTCTACAAAGTTGATTTGATTTGATCTGAAAGTACATGTAAGCTGTATAATCAGCCAGTGGCACTTGGGATAAGGTTGATATGCACTCGGGATGAACATTAGTTTTGTTGTGTAAATCGCGAAATTCTGAATGAAGCCAGTCGCAAGAACCAATGAATAAATTTACCGTGGTCAAAACGTCCTTTCGCCAGACGTCCTGTCAGAACGCGGGAGACCACTTCACAAAGACGCGACGTACACCAGCAGTGAAGATGGAAGCTCGGTATCTTTTCGCCTACGTTGTAGCACTTGCTACCGTCTGTACGGTCTGTACGGGTTACACCAAGTCCAAGGACGATTTTCTGAACCAGACAGACCAGCGCGGCTGCAACAGGTGCTGCCGGGGTTTCCCTGGAGCGGCCGGACAGCCGGGCATCCACGGGCGGGACGGCGTCCCCGGCCGCCCAGGGGTGGTGGGGAAGATCGGTAAACCCGGGAAGCGGGGAGACCGCGGGTTCTCTGGCAAGCCGGGCCCTGCGGGGCCGGAGGGACCGCGTGGACCACCGGGTCTGCCCGGGGGGAAGGGCGAGCGCGGCCCGCCCGGATCCCTAATGCAGCCGCAGAAGATCGGGTTTTCGGCAGCGCGGATGTCGGACTTGGGAGACGCCAACAAACCTGTGGTCCTCACCTACGAACACGTCTTCGTCAACCAGGGTGGATTCTTCAACAACAACACTGGCCAGGTAAGGCTTAAAAGCTTCTTGTAGTGATAACAACAGATATGAGACATTATAGCCTAGGTACCATCCTCCGTTGTTATCGCCGACCATCGACAAGAGAGAGCCGGAGGATGGTGCTTAGGCTATAAAGAGACAAGGTGCTTTTAAATTGACTTCACTGGTCAGGGAGGGGTGTGTTCTTCAACATCGACAAAATTATATAGCTAGGTAGGGGTGTGTGTGTTATTGGTCAGGGAGGGGTGTGTTCTTCAACATCGACAAAATTATGTGGTCTTTGTATGTTCCTAAGATATGAAGCAGTTAGACATGCTGTATAACTAATATGTGTATGCTTTGTACGTATAGGACAATATTCCGAAAAGCACATATTCACGTCCCATATTGCGTAGTCTTTGTAAGATAGGCAAGACTCATAGCATGTTTGTTATATCAATAGATGGCATACGCTGTACCTTGTATTGTGCAGTAAAGTTTATAATGTGTCTCTACCACCCCACAGTTCCTGTGCGCCGTCTCGGGGACGTATTTCTTCACGTTCCACATCTACAAGCGGTCGGGGCAGTACGAGACGTTCGTCCGCCTGGTGCACAACTTCCTACCGGTGGTGGCGGTGCACGAGGGCGACAACGACGACCGCTACGACGGCGTCAGCAACAGCGTCCTCTTGCGGCTGCAGCGGGGTGACAGGGTGTGGCTGGAGATGCCGGCCGGGTTCTTCCTCTACAGCAACGCGTTAGACAAACTTACCAGCTTCTCGGGCTTCCTGGTATTCGCTGATTAGAGCGCTACACATATGTACGTGCATATAAGTCCCATTCCCACTAGGATAAAATTGTACGGATCGAGCCGAATTGATTCGCATTGCCAAATCCGGCTTCGAGACGCTTCGAGCCGGATCGAAGCCTGATCAAAGCGAATCAATGTCGATCCGGACAATTTTTCCCCAGTAAAAGCGGAATGGGGCCACAGTTATAGACAATTCAAGTTACTGGATAAAATACAGGGATCACGTTTGGAGTGGCATCCTCTTCGTTGAAGATGAGTGATGGATGTCATTCGGAACGTCCTGAAGTAATCTTCGTATCTTATCCAGTAGTGGAGTTTGAATTGTATATGAGTATTGTTCTATTGGATGTCTAACCTTCATCAACGTACGTACATATAGTGATAGTATATTTAAAACTATTGACACAAACAATTGGTTACTCAATGTTCAAGAATATTGTTTTGTGATGATGGGCATCTTAACTGTATATTTGTCATATTTATTCTCGCTGTAGTTATGCCGTAACTGTACAGGGTTCGAGTACCATGGAGCAATAATGTTATTGTGAAACTTTGCTGATAAGAATGGGCTAGAAGGAGGAAGATGTGAGTAATAATGAAATAGTAATAATAAAACAGTATAAATATTAATATTACGAACTTACATGTAGTACCACATGGTAATTTCCAAGCAGATTCGGTTGGGCAAGGGACTTTATATTGGCTGCCTGTATCAATTGCCGCCTTAATCCACGTCAGGCGGCCAACACAAAGTCTACTCTCCAAGCAGAGGTTTGGGTTTGGCTTATTTTTGGCGTGTTTTTAGGCTTTTTTATTGGGGTTTCTTTTTTGCACTAGAATTTTTTCAGCCCCCCAAAAAACATTTGGATGACAGGTCTCTGTATAGATGACTGAAAGTCTGGAAATTCACCCTTTGCAAAAACTTGAGTGTGTCCTCACCACGTCTTGTGATTACATGTTGGAATATATGAAAAGAAATAATAATGATAATGATAATGTGCCCTTGCTTACCCGGTGCGCGCGAAGTTGGACACGAAGTGG